CCTCCCCCGAGCTCAGGCTGGCCTTACCTGCAGGCAGCAGGTGCTGAGCTGCCCATTGCTGTGACGCCCTCAGCTCAGCCCGGGTCTGCTGCAGCTCCTTCCACAGGGAGCTCAGGATGGGGCTGTCCCCTCGGCTGCCATGCTGTCTGTCCTGCTGCAGGGCTGTTTGCTGTGCCTGCTCCTCGGCCCTGCCGCGCCAGGCGCTCTCCAGCCAGCCCAGCCTCGCCGACACGTTGTGGCTCAGCTGCAGGACGTGCTCCAGAACCTTCCCTTGCTCCGACTCCTGCAGCCTCCGGGCCTGCTCAGCCTGGTCCCTGCTCCTCAGCAGCGCCTGCTCCACCTGGGACACCACGCGCGAGGTGACGGTGGTGACAGTGCCCGCCAGGGTGGTGGCCAGCTGGCTCAGCTCTGCCCTCAGGGTCTGCAGCTCCAGCCTGGGCAGCTCATCCAGAGCCTGCAGCATCATGTTCTCCTTCATCTGCGAGTTCTCCAGCATGATGAACAGCTTGTCCCACTTGCTGTGCTCCCGCTGGCAGTCGCACGAAGCAGCTGCAAGGGAACGGGAATGGACAGATGTTGCTGCTCCTTGGTACCGAGTGTCACACGGCAGCGTTTGGCAAAGCCTGGCTCTGTGCAAGGCTGTGTCCTCCCGACTGTCACAGACTCGTGGGCTCAGGCTGGTTTGGGCTGGAAGGGACCCTACAGACAATCTGGTTCCAGCCCCCTGCCGTGCTGGGGCCGTGCCTTTCCCTCTGTATCGGGACAGAACCATGCAGGGGGAGATTACAGGGATCCTAAACCCCTGGGACAGCAGCAGCCTTTTGCAGGAAAACTGGGAAATCAAGAGCCTAAAGCACAGCCCAAGGCACCCATCCAAGGGCTTTACCTTTACTGCCCATAATAACCCACTGCTACGAGCACGAGCCTCTCCCTCTGGAAAAGTAAATTATGTTTGCAGTAATAACTCTTACAAGAGCTGGGCAGCACCGAAGGCAGTTCTGCACTTAAATTCAGTTTAAATTTACTCACCTTCCTCAGCCGCAGGAGCTGGACCTTCGATTTCATTATCCAGGTTCACGTACATGAGCTCGTAGTCATCGTCTTCATCCACCACAGAGCCAGAAACTCTGAAAGCACAGAGCAGCGTGAGCAGGGGCAGGAGCTCTCGGGGCAGCATTCTCCTGGCTCTCCTGGGGCTGTGCAGG